AAATAAATTAAATACATCCGTATTGATGATGAAATATAAATAATAAGTTTAAACGAACAATATGAAAATTCAGATATCAAGTTTTCGTGTATTAATTTAGAAAGCTTAATTAGCTATAAAGGGGAAATGTGTATTTTTAATAGTGATAAACGCCGTTCAACTCGTACTCACTCCCTCTAAGAAAATATCTGCAAACATTAACAGCTTACATTTAATGAAAGAGGGGATAAAACGGGAGCCATGACGAACTCATTACGTAAGAAGTAAATGTCGAGATAATCTTGAATATTTGTTTTAGAACAATGTTGTCTGCGGGTCTCGCATTAGTTTGTATTTTAGTCGGAACGGTCTGGCTTTGGTTGAAATCGCGTTTTTCTTATTGGCGTCGCAAGGGCGTAAAAGAATGGGGAGCTACTTCGATTTTTGGTCACTACCGGAATGTGGTCGCCCTCAGAGGGAACGAGGTCGACGTTGCAGACGAGTGTTACAAGAAATTGGGCGATGTCAAATTCGGCGGTTATTACTTCCTCTGGAAGCCACTTCTCATGGTCAAAGATGAGGACTTGATTAAGAAAATAACGGTGAAGGATTTTGATCATTTCACGGACCACCCGCCTTTCCTCGACGTCAACAACGACACCGACGCCGTGCTTAGGTCTCTGTTCTTTTTGAACGGTGCAGAATGGAAGACGAAGCGGGCCGCGATGTCGCATTTTTTCACGCCGAGACGGCTTAAAATTCTCCCCGGCTCTGTCGAAAAACTCTGCACGGATCTATTTCCGAAATTCGACCGGCTCGCCGAGTCGAAAGAAGATTTCGAGATTGAAAATCAAACGGCGGAGATCTCGATGAACATAATCACGACGACTTTCATCGGCGTGGACGTCAAGGACCAGACTTTCTTCAGAAGTGCGGTTAAACTTTTTTCCGAACCGGGAATGGCCAACGTGTACAAATTCATTTTGTACAACGTCCACCCCGAGATCCACAAAATCCTTCGCCTGACCACTCTGGACAAAGATATTCATCCTATATTTGCAGAACTAGTCGATAAAGTGATTACAAAAAGGTTAGAGCAAAACATTGCCGCAGAAGATTTGTTTGACTACCTGATCAAGTGCAAAAAGGGCGAAATTAAACAATTCGAAGGTAAGAAAACGCATTGCTTGTTTTACTCAATTGTTTCGAAGCTTTTGCGCTTTTCACTTTATTTATTCTGGATTGGTAGAATATAAAAGTCTGCGTCGTACAAAAATGAATTCCTTGCATGTTTTAATGTGTTGTTATTTAAATTTACATTCACTAATTTCGTGGTCCGCTTGACCAATTAAATCATTACAATTAATTAAGAGTTTTAGTTGAGATGAAAAAAAGTTAACGAGCGGGATTCGAACCCACGACCTTCGGCTAGATACGCCGCTGCTCTACCACTTGAGCTATCGTGACCTCGATCCACTCGGACATTAACTCCCCATCTCAAAAATTCATAAGGTGGGGTTGAGAAAAGAAATTAATTTAAATTTACACCTAATTATAACTTATTATTACTGTATTATTTCTATTTTTTAAATTTTATGTACTATTCAGGAGCGATGAATAAGCCCACCAATATTTTCAAATTTGTCAGTCTAGAAAAGTCAACTTTTTGTTTTGTTTCATTCACCATATGAAACAGAATCTTAGGGTTGACTAAGTAAATGCGAAAAGAAATAAATGAAAATGTAATTAAGCTTTAAAAAAAATGTTGCTTTTACAGATTTATTCAAAGCTTTAGAATTCTAAAATGTTTAAGCTTCAAGGTGAAACTTGTTCACAAATCATTTCAGCTAATAACTTGCTTAAAATGTGTATCTATAAAAATCTCGAAAGAGAGGAGATACAGCCGCATTTGCTTATTATGAATGTCAAAAAATAAAGAAATACAGGACGAACATGTGTGGCAAGAGGTCACACGAGCCGCCAAGGAGAAAGAAGGCCTTGAGGCGGTCAAAATATCCGTATTTAAATCACGTCATACAAGGTGTTACAGTCGTTTTTCAAACTGTTCCAGAATACATTTGAAATTTTATCAATTTTTGAAGACAAAATTTATTTCTAGAAACGATGAGAATGTATCCGATACTGGGTATTTTAAAAAGGGTCTGCACCAGGCAGGCCGTAGAAATCGGAGGATTTCGAAGTACCTCTCGGCATGGAGGTGATCATACCAGTCAGATCGTTACATTACGACCCTCGGTATTTCGAGGAACCGAGGAAGTTCAAACCGGAGAGGTTTGCCGATGGAAAACCCCCTGAGATTTACATGCCTTTTGGAAAGGGTCCTAGGATTTGCATAGGTGATTTTGGCACAGAGTAAATTTGACTAAACGTCTCTAAAATTCAAAAACTGTTTTCAGGTGTAAGCGGACGACGGCGCGGAGGCCGAATTATCTCTCGATATTCGCTTGCTTTTCTTTAAGCGAAAAGAGATTAGTCGACGTAAGCGCGTCGCTACTTATTCTTGTGTAGGGGAAGGTAAGGTTCCAGAATTCAATAAACCAGAGCGCATATTCAGTAACATTTATTGTACACAATTCCTCCTCTTAACGGTACCCAAACCACAGAACGTTAATTAATCTACAAGTTAGCCCCAACTGTAAATCTGGGATGAGTCTATCAACAAAGGGACTTACTCCAAACGATGCTCGCCACGATAAGTGTCCATAGCATGTTTTCTCTCGACCGTTGACTTGGCTCGATTGGTCGCAACTGCTGATCCTCGCTGGCTCTGCCTGGCTGAGTCCTCTTGTTGAATCCCGACGGAGTGTGGCTGCTACTCTCCCGGTCCTTGGCCTTGACTGCCTAGGGGGCGAGTCTCTGGTTTTGACTGCTTGGAGTGAGTCTTTGATTTTGACTGACTTTTGATTTCCCAGTCATCCCTTTTATACCGGGTCTCTCCCGGAGTATGGGAGGAAAGGAAACTGAAAAGTCGGGGGAGTTTCCACGCCGCGGGTGGGCCGGCGAAGACGGGTGTCGAGCACAGGGTTGACGCGACCCCAATTTACCATATCCCCCGTGGCTACGGATTTTTGACCGTGTGACAACCCTTCAGCATTAAATAACTAGACGATAGTTATTTATTTGATCGGTTGTCCAGCTATTGCTATTTTATGTTCTCCATGTTCGTGGGAAATAAGACGTGGGTCCAGCCTGGGTCTGCCACACACTTCGACGTTCTTATCTATCTGTCTACCTGGGTAACCATTTCCAAGCTACGTTTGGCAGATTTGAGGGGGACGTCACGTCGTTCCCGTCTGGGTGGTCGCCCTTTCAGAGTTGCAACCTTTGTCCCCTTTCATCGTTTACCCTATTTTGTTCTTATTTTAACAACTAAAACTTATCGCTAAGACGGGGACCGGCTTACATCACCCCGCCACTAACAAGTGTTGCCTTACAGCGCAACCCTTACCATATCTAATCACTACTTCTAACACAAATTCCCCGAAATTCTACAGTTCATTAACTAATTAGAGTTCCTGTCTCTAGTACTTAACTCCGTTCCGTTGTGGTCCGGGATTCTGCCGGCTCCCGTAGAAGTATACCTTCTTCTGGGCCTTCGTCCTTTTTGTGGTTACGGCTGGTCCAGTAGCGAATTCCTGCTGCAGCTCCAATTACGAGTAGAGAGGCTATGGCGACACTCGCTCCGACCCAAGTGGCGGTTCGCTTCAACAATCGTGCTTCTGCCAGCTGGTCCAATGATTTTGCTAAAGCGTCTAGTACTCCATCGGCTGGAATCGTCCCTCCCATCTTTTTCTAATTCGTTGAGGGCTGATTCTACGTCGTACCGGGGAAATACTTTGTTCCGCTCTAGTATTCGGCTAAAAGGAAGGACAGTAATTCTCCGCTTTAACGCCATTTCCGTGTTTCCTTCCGACATCGGTAGGAAGTAATGGTCTCGGGTTCGCATCGCACATTCCGAAACCACTTTTAGTTCCCCTGCACCCTGCAGGGTTATTTCGGTCACTCCCTTGTTTCTGCACTGCATCGTGAGCACCGTTGGTTCCGGCGGACTATAGATCCATGCGCTGCGCTCTGCATCCCAAATTCTTCTTCAAAATCTCGTCCTGCACTGGCATCAACTCACGGAATACAACTCGAACCTCTGGTCTGGCGCCTGCAAGGGAAGATCCAAGACAACATGTAGAGCTCCCTCGGTGGACACGCCGTGCTCTTCCGTCATCTGATAGTATCGGTTCCTGTCCTCTGGGCTGGTTCCTGTCAACAAACTCAACTCCAGAGTAGAGCAGAGTCCACGGTCTTGAGTAGTTCACTCAATTCCCGTGGAGACAATAGTGACTGACTTATTATCCCCTGTGAAACGGCCTCTATCCTCGGTACAGGTCCTTTAATTCTAACGCAGCCTTAAGGGCTGAGATCTCTAGCTTTCGTAAATTGCTCGACAAGGAGAGTGTAGCATTGAGAAAAAATGATAAGGCAGAAACTTCCGTCTCAATTCGATCTAAACGAAGATGAGTCGTCTCCAAGTCCTCTCGCAGTATGCCGGTCAGTCGCGCTATTTCGCGTGTGTTGATCTCTGCTTGTCGTCCCGCCGTCCGCGTCAACGTGATTTGTTCCTTGGACAAATGTACTAAAGTGCCCTGAATGCGGTCTAGTTTGAAGAGATCTGCCTGTAGGTTTTCAAGATCGTCGGCGTCAGGATTACCGAAAATCACTCTTATGACCTTGCCTCCTATGTTCAAGAGCCCTCTCTTCACCTTTCCGACAGGCAACAAATCCCTCAGCGCATCGGTGAAATTCTTCGCCATATTCGCCGTGTTCATCGACACCAGTCTCCTAGGATTGATCAATATTTCGACATGATTCTTCCCTTTGACCGGCTGAAAAGAAAGCCTCTATATCTGGGGATAGAGACGGTGGAGTGTCGCTTTCCGTCGACTCGCGTCGTCTTCTTCTTCGATGAATTCTGCGACGGGATGCGGTTGACGGGAGGCTTTGTGGTCTTACCCTGATTGGCAAGGACGGCTGTTTTTCAAGAGGCTCCTCATCGCTGGACACTGCCGCTCCCATTCTGGTTGCCAAATATTCTTCGTCCGAGTCTTCCTCTTCTGCTCCGGATCCTTGTTACCAGCTGGACTTCTTTGTTCTGCTGACTGTTCCTCTTCGGTACTTTCAACAATCGCCGGTTTCAGTCGGTTCACGTGTACCACAGCCGTTTGTCCACTGACTAATTTAAGCCTGTAAGTAACTCCTGACAATCTCTCAATCACTACATGAGGACCACACCAGGGGCAGTGGAATTTCTTACAGTGGCCCGGTTTGACTGCCGGTGCATGTAAGTACACCATTTCTCCGGTTGCCAGCGTCCGTAGTTTCCTTCGTTTGTTGCACTGTGCCGTACATTGCGTCCAGGTCCTCTCCATGCGTTCCCGAGCCTCTTTATAGGTCTCTCTTAGTCGCATTTGTAACCTGTCAACGGGGGGTTCTATTTCCTCGTCGGTTGTAGGTCTTACCAGGCTCTCTGAAGGAGGTGTCACCTCTCTCCCATATAAGAAATAGTTTGGAGAATATCCAGTGGATGAGTGTGGCAGAGCTCGATATGCGATTAAAGCATACGGCACCCATCTATCCCACTCTCTCCCGTCTCGTCGAACGAAGTGGGCCATGGAATCCGTAGGGTTCTATGAAGACTCTCTATCATACCGTTTCCTTCGGGATGATATGGCGTAGTTTGCAATTTATTTGTACTCAATACACGGCAAACGTTCTTCAGGACATCCGAAACAAAATAGTGACCTTGATCCGTTAGCAAACTTTCGGAACTCCATGACGAACCACGATAGCTTCTACAAACGCCTGTGCGGTTTCTTCTGCTGTCTGCTCTCTTAAGGGTATCCCTTCTGCATATCGCGTAAAATTGTCCATAACAGTTAACAGGTACCGGAACCCGCCCTTACTCCTAGGTAGAGGTCCTAGAATTTCCGTCGAAACTGCTCAAACGGCTCTGAGGGGAAGGAGCGGAACTTTCAATGCTATCGGAGATTTCCTTTTTTGACAGGGCCCACAGCCTTTCACAAATTCCTCCGTGTGCTTTCTCAAAGTAGGCCAGTAATATGAGCCTCTTACGAGCATTGTTGTTCTATCTTTGCCCGGGTGCCCTGCCGCTGCTCGAGCACATTTTCCTCAAAGATTCCGGGATTGCCAGCCTCCATGTCGTTGTGTCATCTAAGTCGGCGCATCGGTATAAATGCCCCTTTGCATCGATAATACTTTCTCCCACATTGTCGGCTAATTTTCGACACCATTGGTCCTTTTCCTGTTCCTCCCGGATCCTTTTTACTGATAATGGTTTCTTTATTTTGATGACTTGCCCGACTGCTCTACTTAATGCATCTGCGTTGGTATGTTTCCTCCCTGGCTTATGTTCTACTTCGTATTCGAATTCTTGAAGTCTTAGGGCCCATCTTGTTAATCGTGAAGATGGATCCCGTAAGCTCAACATCCATTTCAACGCCGCATGATCAGTGACAAGCTTAAATTTTCTTCCCAGAGGGTTACAACGGAACTGTCGCGTGGCCCAAATAACTGCGAGTAATTCAAGTTCAGTTGCTCTGTAATTACACTCCGCTCCTCTCAACTGCCGACTGGCATAACAAATCGGTCCCTCGACCCCGTCCCTCTTTTGGGATAGTACGGCCCCCCAGGGCCACCTTTAATGCATCGGTAGATAAGATAAAGGGATCGCGGAAATCCGGGTAAGCTAACACCAAACTCGAACTCAGTTCTTCCTTTAATTGCTTAAAAGCATCGTCTGCCTGCTCGTTCCGTTGAAAAGTTCCGTCCCCTTTACAAGCACTGACAGAGGTTTAGCTATCTCCGCGAAATTTGGTATGAATCGCCGATAATAGCCTGCCAGCCCGAGGAATGCTCTTACGCCTTTCCTGTCCCTGGGCCGCGGATATTCATTTACTGCCTTTATTTTCATGGGGTCCGTGAGCACTCCTTCGTCTCCAACTATGTGTCCCAGATATGTGACTTCCCTTTTGGCAAACGCGCATTTCTCTCCGTTCACCTTCATATTTGACTCTCTCAATTTCTGGAATACGTGGCGAAGGCGGCTTGCATGCTCACGGATAGTCTGGCTATATATAATTACATCGTCCAAATATACCTTAAGCGTTCCCAACAATTGGTCCATCAATCTCTGGAAGGTGGCAGGAGCTCCGGCGAGTCGTTGATACTCATAATGGCCTTGGGCGGTGGTAAAGGCCGTTTTTTCCTGATCTTCTTTTGCTACTCTTATCTACGATACCCGCATGTCAAATCGATAGTTGAAAAGAATTTGCTTTGCCCTAATTGTTCAAGAGTCTCTTGAATTAAGGGCAACGGATATACATCAACTCTAGTGATCGCGTTTAATCCGCGAAAATCAGTGCAAAACCTGTACTTAGTCTCTCCGGACTCATTTTTCTTTTGCACCAACACGACAGGTGCGGACCATGGACTGGTAGACGGGCGAATTACTCCCTTATCGAGGATGTCCTCAATATGTTCTTTAAGGATCGCCCTTTTATGAAAGGTTACCGGATTCAGGCGTTTCGCTAACGGTTTTGCTAACCCTATTTCTATTTTGTGCTCCACCTCTAGTGTGCAATCTTTGAGATCAGGTGGGCCGAATAATTCCCAATACTCTTCCAGTACCTCGTGAATCACGGCTCTATCTGTTGCGGGGAGATGTTGCAGCTTCTCTTCCCATTTAGGGGCCTCATTAGTCCGTTCTTCTGTGCTCACTGGGGCCACAAGGTTTCGCTGCGTTGCATCATAATATTTTCTGAATTCCATATCAATTGTTGGCGCCCAGTCTTCAGTGAAGCCCATGGATTGCCGGTTATCAACTGTGGCCTCTTTCATCGATAAATTAATTACACGTACCCATACTTTCCCTTTCATTATGCGGGCGAGACACGTAACTCGTTATGCGGCAGATCAATATTTCCTCACCATCGGATAATCCTTGTATCTTACATTCGACGTGGACCTCGCTGTAAGGGGGAATCACCTGGCGACGAATTGAGCGTACTTCTAAGTTCCGTTTGTCATTCTCTATTCCATTTTCCATCGGGGACCCCGCGTTTTCTCCTTTCGGTGAACCATACTTGGGTTGGCGGGAAGCCTCGAGTCTTCTCTTTTTCTCCCATGATTGCTGTTTCACTATTTGTGACTCAAAAGTCACTTCTTTTGATTCCGACCTCGGGAAACACCACGGATTCCATTTCTTTTGTAATTCTACTATTTTTCGGGCTAATTCGATGATTGAAAATTGGTTTATTGCGTGTATCGATTTTAGCTCTTTCCGAGAAACAGGTTCAAATTTGAGTTGCTTCCTACTGGGATGCATGCTAAGACTGAATTTTTTTAATAAATCCCAGCCCATCAATCCATCCAACTCCGTTTGAAGCGGAGCTATCGTAAAACGGTGTCGAAAACGCCTTTCTCCTATCTTGCAATCCAATTCCTGATCTCCTTGTATTTTAAGTGATTGCCCGGTAACACCTCTGGGTTGGACTCGTGACGGTTCGAGTCTAAATCCCGCTACGCGATTTTTCACCAACGAAACCTGTGCTCCCGTGTCGACGAGGAGTTGACGAGGTTGTCCACCCACTATTGCCTTCACGCTTAGCCCTTCTCTTTCTCCGCCATCTATTGTTGGTAGTAAGTAACTCTGCCCCTGACTTCTTAATTTCGGCTACCCGACGGGGCTACGAGTGGACCGTGATCTTTTGGGGAAGCCTGAGCCAGTAGTTTACTTGATATCGGGCAATGGGTTGCAAAATGTCCAGGTTTTCCGCAGCGATAGCAACAACGATTGGTATCTTGATTCACACTAGCCCTCTCTTTTTGTACCTTAGGTTCTTGGCATTCTCTGGCGAAATGTCCTCCCTTAGCACACCTAAAATAAGTTGGAACTCGTTTTTCCGGGGCCCGTGGCATTCGGCGATCCTGAACTCTTCCCACCTCGCGGTCGCTCTTCTTTCGTTTGCCATTTTTACTGACTCTGAATTGCTCTCTTTTCTTTCCGATAAGGCCTGCTCTATTTCCAACGCATGCCTTAACGCAAGGTCCAATGGCGACCTGTTTTCCTACTTCTCCGCTGAGACCTCGGGATAAAGCCTGAACAACCTTTCTTTCAACCTCTTTGGACCACCAAGAGGATTCTCCACCCGTTAAATCAGGTCGACCCATCTTGGCCCTGAATCCGCTACACCGTTCTGCAAATTCGTGAACACTTTCGTTTGGGCGAGCCTCGACCACATGTAGCAATTTCTCGAAATGTTCGAAATTTCTCGGGTTGCCAAAACGATCTCTCAACGCATCGGCTAGAGAATGCTCGGGTGCGCTCTCTGTATGGAGCCAAGTAATTCCTTCCTTCAATTAGATCGGTCACATCGAGCATGCAATGCAGGACATATGCGCGGGGTTTGGCCAAAAAGTAAGTGACTCTGTCAATCTGGCATCGTTTATTCGTAATTGGGTGAGGATGACCCTTCTTCTACGAGTCAGATCTTCCGAGGGTCACCCATCGACCGAGCTCTTGCTACGCCAGATTCCCCTTCAATTAAATGAGAAACATCGAACAACCTTTCTCTGTATACCGGAAACATACGCGGGCGAATGAAAAATGAACGTTCGAAATAACTACAAATATTAGGTCTGCTGATGTCTCAAGATACAGCATATAGTTTGGGGTGAAGTCTGGAAGGCCGAGCATTTTTTCATAAAAAAAATATTAAATCCCCGTATTGGCACGAGTAGCAAAGAATTGATCGGCAAAAAGCTTTAAAGAGGGACGATTTATCTTTGGTTTTCTTCGTGTATAGTTTTTAGCCTATAAAATTCATATTCCAGAACAGAGGCGAAAAAATTTACCAAAGGACCATCGCAGAAACTAACAGCACAACTACAAAATCTAGGACGGGCTAGGGCTAGAATAATAGTTAGACTGCTAACTGGACCCTGCAGGCTCGGAGGCATATGTATAGACACGGAGTGGCAGAAATAAGCCTGTGCAGATATTGCCAAGAAGAAGAAGAAGAAGAAACAGCGGAACACTCTGTTGGTACAAAGGCCTATGTAGGCTTTGATCCCTAATCCTGGGAGAGGAAAAGCCATAGCTTGAAGGATACTCCCCGGCGCCCTTGAAAATGCTTTAGGATCTGGTAAAAAGCTTCAAGTTTAACGAGGAGCTTTAGATAAAAAAATAGAGGTGCACATGTCGAAAAGAGGCCGGTCTTATATAATCTTATCTATTCCTCTATTTTTTCACTATGTGGTGATATTTCAGCATATTCTAAAATTATACACCAGTACATTGCTTGGCATACTGTATTCAACAGGAATCCGAACGATTTGGTCAACTATCAAAATTTTCTCAATTTTTCCTTAGCAAACTCCTCCAAGAGAGGATGGAAATATAGCAAATCTGAACAAGACATGGTTTGGCATTTTGTCATCATAAGCCAATCGTTGAAGAAGGTACTTGTTCATAACCTCAAAGGCCTCAACAAAACATCTTTGAATTAATCCAATGTTGAAAAAAAAGTGCGAGTGATTAAAAATAGTATAGTTCGAAGTTACTTAAGAAATACATCAATTTATTCATTTAAAAATAATATTGTGTGACATTTTTCGAAAATTTAAGCCCGAATACTTTTGTAATTATCAGCTCTTGCTGTGAGTTTCACCCAAATTCCACCAACAGGTCTAACGGTAACAACTAGAGTTGGTTCGAATTTGAATGGCAGCTGGTTTTTTCGGCTAGGCAGAATGTCGTAATCGAGTACCAGCCGGGCGAGCAAATGTTTCATTTCGTCCTCTGCAACCTTCATGCCTAAGGAAGAAAAAAATATTTTCGATAAAGCAAATAATTACATTGATCAAATGGCGTACCGATGCAAATCCTAGGGCCTTTCCCGAACGGCATGAACACCTCGGGAGACTTCCCTTCGGCGAACCTATCCGGGTTGAAGCAATGCGGATCCTCGAAGTACCGCGGGTCGTAGTGTAGTGACCGGACCGGAAAAACGACTTCCATCCCAACGGGCACATGAAAATCGCCGATCGTGTACGGCTTGGTGCAGACCCTCTTTACGGCTCCCAGAACGGGATACATCCTGGTCGTTTCTGCAATATTTTATCAGTATTGAGGAGATTTGTAGTTTAAAACTAAATTACCTTGAATGACATTGGACAAATAAGGTATAGAGTTGATGGTTTCGTAGCTGAGGCCGTCCTTCCGTTCTTCAACCGCATTTTTTATTTCGCTCCTGAGCTTCTTCTGGATTTCTGGGTTCCTTGAGAGTTCGAAGAGCGTCAAGGCTCCCGTCAGTGCTGTCGGGTCGTGTCCAGCGAAAAAGAACGTGAACGTGTGGCCAATCATTTCGTCCATAGAAATATCTGGTAAAGACAATATTTTCCAATATAAAAATGCCGTAAGCAATCCCCCTTTAATTACTATAGCATATGCCGAAAGACTTAATTATCTATTTACCTTCATAACCTTTGATCTCTCCATTTTGACATTTGATTAAAAAATCAAATAAATCGTTGGAAACGATGTTCTGTTCTTTTCTCAGTCTGACGACCCTTTCGACGAGTTCAGAAAATAGCGCGTATATCCCCTTGTTGAGTGTGGTGAGCCCGAGAGCCTTGTGTATCTCCGGGTGAAGGGTGTAAAGGAAGGACTTGAGCAAGCTCGACGTGTCCGGATACGAGAACATGTGTGTCGCTTTGAGGAAAACAGACTGGTCCTTCACGTCGATCCCGATGAAAGTTTTCGTGATCACGTTCATCGTCAGGTCGGTCAGCATCGGGTCCATGTCGATGTCCAGATCATCCTTCGCGCATTGGTCAAACTTGGGAAAAAAGCTGTCCATAATTGGCCCCGTCATGGTATGGATGGTTTTAAGACGTTTAGGAGTGAAAAGATGTGTCAACACGGATCTCCGCTTCTTCCATTCCTCCGACTTCATGAAAAAAATCGAATGCACCACTATGTCTGTGCCCTTTGTACTATCGAGGAAGGGCGAGTGGTCGGAGAAATGTTCGAAATCTTTAATCGTTATGTTTTTGACTAACTCTGGGTCTTTGATCATGAGAAGTGGCTTCCAGAGGAAGTAATAACCGCCGAATTTGACATCGCCCAATTGCTTGTAGCATTCGTCTGCGACGTCCGCTTCGTTCGCTTTCATCGAGATCACATCGCCGAAGTTTCCGAAAATCGATTTCGCCGGCCATTCTTTCACGCCCTGTCGACTCCAATAAGAAAATTTCCATTTATACCAGAACCAACCGATCGAGATTAAAACAACGAACAACGCCACGCTAATCAACATCTCTAGAAGAACTCTCACAACTGGCTCTGTGTCCTCGGGACGTGTTCATATAAAGGATTTCTCCGCAGTCCCCACCATTCTAAAAATGCGTGTATACAATTTTATCTCATTCCTAACCAACCGTCAATTAATTTATATTAATCCGATATAAAGCAATCAATTGCGTTTAGCCAACATTAAAACAATCAAATAATCCGCTTATTTACAAATTAATAGGAAACTATCTGATTGCAATTTTAAGATTACCTACAAATTAAGAAATCCTACAAATTAATCGATTGACAGGAACCAACTACGAAAACCGAAAAGAAGGTAGGTAATGTAAACATTAAATTAAAAAATGCTAGAAAATTGCTTAATAATTTTAAAAATTGCCATAAGGAAAACGTAAAAATTGAATACACATGCTTAGTACTTAATTCAGTATTGAACTTGGAAAGGTTCGTCTGGGAGGGACATCATATCCTTTCTAGCCCCATTCTGTGATTTTAAAAAACAAATTTATGCTTTTTATTTCTAAGAATATAACAATGATTATTAGCAAAGTACAGGCATGGATCACAATCCGTCTGCCTTAGGTCGTTGTTAATATGCTATTTTTATGCTCACGTTGCCTATTCGGACTCCATATTCGAGAGTCGAGGGGAAATCATCAAGAAAGAGAGCGAACAGAACTGGACTGAGTAGACAACCCTGCCTAACACCACAATTAACCTAAAAAAAATTGAATAAATCTTCACCCCCTCGGACCTCTGATGCTGTCTGTGAGAAAAGGGATTTTATGATTTTCAAAATATTGGAAGAGAAGTAGTTACTAATTTTGAACAAAAGTCCACTACGATCTGCTCTATCAAATGCGGCTTTCAAGTCCACGAAAAAACAAAAAAATTCGGTGAAATGTTCAAGAGCTCATAAATCGCAAAAAAGAAACAAAATTATAGTTATAGTCAATCCAATAAAACATAATACACAATGCAGCGTAGAATATTACTGTTTGTTTGATCAAACCCATTGTTTTATTACTGCATGTAATATGCCTCTGAGGGTAGGCAAAGCATGGGAACAGGAAAAAAAACAAGTGTACGTTTATTCTTAATAATTGAAAATTTAATGATAGTTCCTTACTTCCTTCGAAACAACCTATTCGATGTTACCCAATTTTTAGAACTAAAATAACAATTTAGAATAAAATCTACCACGCCCACGTTTTCACAGTTCTTGAGGGAGACCCCCGACCACGGGCAATTTATTAAAATTTGGAACTTCGAAGGTAATTATTGTTACTTTTATCGATTTTATGGGCCCTTCGTTTAAAAATGGTTCATAAAGGGAGAGTTTTTATTATATTTTATATGGCACTACCCTGTAATATTAGTAAACGACCAGTTTCGCCATTCCATTGTTTTTCGGATTAAGCAATATAAATAATTATTCTTTTTATGTAAGGTCTTGGTTGAGATAAAAAAGTCAATGTCACGAGCGGGATTCGAACCTACGACCTTCGGCTAAATACGCCGCTGCTCTACCACTTGAGCTATCGTGACGCCCTCTCGGGCACCTACTCTCCATCTCAACCTACAACCGTTCGAATTTTCCCTCTTTTTGCCATTTTCTCGTTTGGGTCTGCATTGCAGCCCTGTCAGGTATTGGAGATAATAATAAAATTAACCTTGTTTAGGTGCCAGGGCATTAGGGAAGAGGGGCAACGAAGAGGCCGATAAATTGGCCAAGTAATGTTCGATGAGGACACCTTCGGCTCTGAAGCTATTTTTCGCTTACCAAACTGCCAAAAACGCGTATACATTAGTGTATAAATATGTTCGCGTTATTAAAGGAAGATCGCAGAAACTAACGCCAAAACTATTAAATCTAGGACGTGCTAGGTCTAGAATAGTAGTTGGACTGCTGACTAGGCAATACACAGTCCGGAGGCATGTGTATAGTCACGGCAGAAACAAGCCTGTGCAGATATTGCCAGGAAGTAGAAACATCGGAACATGACCTCTGATGGTGCAAAGGCCTATGTAGGCTGAGATTCATACTCCTGGTAGAAGAAAATCCAAGACCTGAAGAATACACAGCAGAGAACTTCACAAGACCTTGGGATCTGGTGAGGTGTTAGGAGTGTAATGATGGTACGACACCTGGCAGGATACCGCTGTCTCCGGAGGCATATGGACAAACTTGGGCCGCCAAAACTAACCCTATGCACATATTGCCATGAAGAAAAAGAAATAGCGGAAGACGTTCCCTATTGACCCTACGCTCTGTTCGTGCGGAGGCCTATCTAGGCTGAAGGATACACACGATAGCCCTTGAAAAAGCTTTGGGCTCTGGTAAAAAGCCTCAAACTTAACGAGGAACTCTAGATTTAAAAAAATGGAGATGCACAATATACCAATACTGGTCGCGGTGCACAGGTCGAAAATAGTCCGGTCCTATATAATCCAATCCTCTATTTTTTCCCTATGTGATGACACTTCTAAAATTATAAACCAGTACATTTATATGCTCGACTTTTAAGAGATTTACATATTCATACGACCATATATTTGGAGATACAGTTAATTTAAAACTTTCTATAAGTATTTTTTAATTTCATAGGGAAGGTTAGGGATGTAGGTAGGTATAGGTTTTCCTACTAAAACATTAAATTTGGGTAATATATCAATTAATACATTTTCATTGAGGGGCGTCGGTGGCTGCAAAGGTTTAGGCGTTGACACGGCCTCTGTAATGTAAAGGTCCCGGGTTCGAATCCAGCGGCCCGATATACTCACAAATGGCCTTTTTTTCAAAAACACCAGCACCCCGAGGGTTATACCCTCTGCTGTTGCGAACCCTCGTAAAAATAAATAAATTTCTATTAATAATAATATTATCTCTAACATTTCATTTTAAAGTTTTTAAAGAAAATCCTTATAACAGGCCCAATAGCATGTTGCAATAAAAAAATTAAAATATTTGTTCTTTTATTTTAAAAAAATCCACTTTAACCTTTTTTGCTGCTTTTTACTATAGTAAATGTTTAAATACTCAATAGTGCTAAATTTTTTATTTACTAGCTACTCTAGGGGAAAACATCAATCTTTTAGTATACTGTATTCAACTGGAATCCGAGCGATTTGGTAAACCATCAAAATTGTCCAGCTTTTCATTAGCAAACTCTTCCAATAGAGAATCAAAATAAATCTAAATAAGGTAAATTTTATATTACTAATATCTAGTGTCCTCACATAAAAACTAATTAAAAACTACTAGTAGTTTGGCCGTTTTTGGTCATTTTAAAATTCGCATCCTTGCTGGTCTGTTTTTCCAGAAGTTGGCAATATTATTGTAAAAATGAATTGAGGTCTCGTGGAAGTGGATATCGCAGAGGCAGTTGGCTTTTGTCAGAGCGTGGGCCCCCGGGCTTTAGCCCGATTCCGAGTCACTGGAAGTGCCAAAAGAAGGCCTGGTAGTGATGGTGGTGATGGTGATGAGGTTACAAGTAAGCGTGATTTGTGCTCCCCAGGCACTGCAGCCTTCTGGTTGTACTTTCTTCGTCCTTAGTTCAGTGCAATACTCAATCCTTCTTCTCAGAAGTATACAGCCATGGACTGTCGCTGTTACAATTTCATTCCCTAGGTTTTTTCTGTATGCTAGGTAAAACCTCCATTGAGCCTTCAAAGGTCTAAGTCCGTTTCCGGACTTACACAGGATGGTCGTGCAACCATATACCCCTGAAGGCCCAACCCTCATGACACTAGGCGTTAGCCACGGCTGCAGCCATGCCCAGGATGGACCAAGGGGAGGTGCCTGGTCGGGATACGACGTCAGGGTTGTACCTTACAATTATCTTACGTGTTAATGACGGGGTGCCCCTGCGTACACTGAACCCCGCCCAGGAGAGAAAGAGAGTGGGCACCCTCGTACATACCACTACTATATATACAATAAAGTACATATATATTTACAATTTGTTTATATATACAATTAAATCTAATATATCGCTAATATATTCTTCATTGGTTTTGACTGCACTGACATTTAGATTAACACTTACACTTACACACGAACAGTTACACTGACACTATTATGTTGGGTAGTTTTGGCCATCCTTTTGTTATCACCTGATACACAAAGCGTTTAGTGGCCGGAAATCCTTTCTTTGACATTATCGCACTGGATATGGCTCGGACGTCACACTCTATGGAGCACGGTCCCTTAACCATCTTCTTGAAACTGAATGAGCCGGGCACTCCGTAAAAGTGTGGTCCGGTGTCTCTTCAGAACCATTAGAGCACAGAGGGCACTCCGCCGTGTTCCATGTGCCGAATTCACACAAATACGTCTCAAAATCACCATGCCCCGTGAACCTTTGGGTCATATAGTGGTCGGTTACGACATATTTACGTTTTAGTCTGTCACTTATAGAAGGCTGATAGGTACGACGACCTTTGTCAGTAAATTATAATCTCCATAGAGCCGTTGCTTTGTATTCGAAGATGACTATGGGTGGCTGTTTCCTACTCCTCATTGAATAATCTGCAGATGGGATCATTGCTGTATATCCCCAAGTTGGGTAGATGTTTTCTCAGATGCCAGTGTCCGGTTAATAGTCCTATCATTCCTCTGAGTCTAACCCTCTTCAACTATATGCAATTTTATCTCATTCCCATCAAGCTTTTAATTAATTTATATTAATTCGAGAGTAAGAGCCAAATAAAAATTAATTTTAAGATGATGGCCGGTAGCTGCTATGGCTATTGCCTACCCCCAGCGTTTTCTGCACAGTTCAGTTTTATTCTAATCGGCGCTTAAGTATAGTGAAAATAAATTAAATACATCCGTATTGATGATGAAATATAAATAATAAGTTTAAACGAACAATATGAAAATTCAGATATCAAGTTTTCGTGTATTAATTTAGAAAGCTTAATTAGCTATAAAGGGGAAATGTGTATTTTTAATAGTGATAAACGCCGTTCAACTCGTACTCACTCCCTCTAAGAAAATATCTGCAAACATTAACAGCTTACATTTAATGAAAGAGGGGATAAAA